TCCATTCGATATTGCAGATCTGCCCACGCACACAACTGGACATGCCATGTGACAAACTTCACCAAATGTCTGTATTCATTTCTTCGGCTTTGTTCATGAGGTAGCCATAACAGCTTTTACAAACCAGCACTGTCTCTTCATAGGCTGCTGGTGCTGCTCATAAAAAAAAAAAAACAACATATCAAAGATATCAGTGACAACAGCTATCATAATGAATTTGTTGACAAGAGAAGTCGTTTAACTTGCTGGACATTTTCAAAGTAAGCAAGTCACACAAACATAAATACGGGCAAAAATATTAAACTTCTGACAGACTGGGTGGGGTAGGGTTTGAATCTCTCAGTCTGGTATTGTAGGTTATTGTATACCATACTCCCAGCCTTGTAACAATTTCCTTGATCCAGCCTTCAAACGATTATAGTGTCGATTATAATCAATGTTTTGAACAAAACTATGACTAAGGTAGGAGATCACCGTCTTGTAGATAGTGAAAAAACATATGGCAATTCGAAGTGTCAGTCATATCTTATCCTAATCCTAGAGTTGAACTCTGATCTTTTTATTCAAACCGGGTGGTTGAAGGGTGCAAAGTTTGCACTCCAAAAAGCTCCTCTTGTCGGAAAATGATTATCGAGGCTATTTTTCCTAATAGCCGCAGGAATTCTTGTGTGTTCATTGGCTGATTTTTTTGTCAATGAGTGGACAGACACATGAATTTATAATTNAATCCCAATTTTGCCACGAGTGCGACAAAGGGTACAATGACGATGCTATACGACATCATCCACGTAATGGAAAATGGTGTCCTCCCTGTCATTGTAAAGAGTGCCATGACTCCATAGATGCCAAACGATCATTGGGTCTGGGCAAGTTTCCCAAACCTCAGTCCCTCTGCCTTGCATGTCACCGTTGGTTCTACGGGAATGATTGCTACACCTATCATTTGTTTCGTCAGCGAAAACAATAACGGTCCATTTGCGAAACCCTACAAAAGTGCCGTAAGTGTCACAAAGTCTTCGAAGCAGCTCCAAAACAAGTCAGGCCTGGTGGAGATCGACATAGCATCAGAGCTAAACACAAGTGCTGTTGGGGGGAGTGTTTCAATAGTGAGCAGATGGTGGAGATTGGCAAACCTCGTTGTCACATTAAACCTGTCGACCCTGAAGACGACGAACCTAAACTGAAAAAAGTGCCAGCCAGCTCGGTCGGTACATGTCCTGTGGTCCGTATAGATGAAGATGGTGGTGCATTGGTGGAACGAGAACCATCTCTCTTTGTGTACTGCGACTACGAAGCCGTCACGGACGAAAGAGTCCAGACACCCATCTTGCTCTGTCTGGAAGATGCAGAGAGCAACAACACCCATTCGTTTCATGGCACAAACTGCACTGAGGAAATGTTTAATCATCTTGAAGAAGTAGCCGTGGATGTAGATGGAGATGATCAACGAGTCATCATGGTCTTTCACAACTTCATAGGCTACGATGGCATGTTTGTGCTGCAGTACTTGTACAAACACCATCGTGAATTTAAAGATCAGATTACCATGGGCAGCAAGATCCTCTCCCTGAAATCGGATAATCTCACCTTCAAGGACTTGGTCTGCTTTCTTCCTTTTCCTCTCGCCAACTTTCCTGCTACCTTTGGGTTGACCGAGTTACGTAAAGGTTCCTTCCCTCATTTCTTCAATACCTTGGCCAATCAAGACTATCAAGGTCCCATGCCACCTGCCGACATATACGACCCCGACGGGATGAGTACCAAAAAGTAAGCAGCGTTTCAACAGTGGTACACTGAGCAAGTAAACAGCTACTATGTCTTCAACCTTTACAGAGAGATGAAAGTCTATTGCATCTCGAAAGTCAAATCGTTGAAAGCCGGTTGTCAAAAGTTTCAAAGAGAATTCCCTCAACATGCCGAGAGGTGTCACCATCACCTCGGTCTGCAACCGTTACTGGCAGAAGAAGCTCTTACCTCAGAACACCATTGCCGTCAAACCTTGTCGCGGTTGACACGGAACCCGGACCAATCAGTCCGTCAAAGCCTTCAAATGGCTGGCTTGGCAGGAGCACCGTTTTCGCGTCAACTCTCTCACTTCCTTGACTGGCGAGCCAACGGCTGACTGCATAGCCATGCGGGTAATGGCGGGAAGTGAGAGTAGCCTCCTTTCTCATCGATGGTTACAACACGCTCACTCCCACTGTCTACGAGTTCCACAGTTGTCTGTGGCACGGGTGCCCTCGTTGTTTCCCAGACTGTAATATCCACACCAAATTCCATGGGTACCCAGCTGGGCGCGTACCGAAGAAGACCTAGCTTGATACCTGACGCAGTACCGGGAACGCGAGGGAATGGTGCTTGACCCAACTATGGTCTAAAAGAACCTGGAACGCAAAGCCACCGCCAAACTCATGCTCAACTCCTTCTGGAGTAAGTTTAGTGAGAACCTAAATAAACCCACCACCGTGGCCATCGTGGGACCAGCCTCTCTCTTTGCTGCCATCTCCAACCCCTTGAGGCGCCTCAGATTTTAAGAGTCTCTCGAAAAGTTAGAACAAGTCCTCTACTTCTACACTCTGTCATCTACCGTTAGTGTCCCAGGCACTCCCAAATTCCTCTCAGCGATTTCCTTGGCAACATGACCAATGAGTTGGATGATGGTGATTACATCACAGAATTCACCTCGGCTGGTGTCAAGAACTATGGCTACAAGACAAAGAATGGAAAAGTGTGTTGTAAAGTGAGAGGCTTCACTCTCAATGCAAGTGGCTCTCAGCAACTCAATTACGAGGTGATGCAACAAAATGTCCTAAATGACATTCGCGACCCTCTCGACGAAGACCGACGCAAAATCCATGTGGTCAACCCCTACTTCTTTACACAAGATCCTGCCACCAAACGCCTGAAAGTGGTACCCTACACCAAACATTACGGTCTCGTTCCGTTGGATGACGTTGACATGGAGAATGTGGAGGCTTTGATGGACTTGTAAATAGTTTTCCCTCACGTAATGGTACTCACATCAACGCACATGCAATGATGGACAAGGCTTACTTTTTTCTCCCCCGTAACCACCAACGTAAAACGCACACGCTAAATCATTTCTGTAAATGTTTTCACGGGCGCTGCAGTCACTAGACCTGGCAAACATCCCGAATGATTTTTAGGGTTATCATGCAAATATAGAAGATTCCAATCTGATGACGTCAATTAATGCATGCAAAAATAACTAGGTCTACCATTTTGTTACCATATTTGGCGTCATGACGTCATCCCTTGGTCACGTGGTACAAAATTCTGCAATCTGATTGGTCGAGAGCCTCGTTTGCTTACGTTAATGAGATGCAAATGTATTAGATCCTGTATGAACCCCCTTTACTACTTTCCACATGCTATGTAACATTGCCTACGTCAAAAATGTAAGCACAACGGACTTCTTTATGGTCGAACTAGAATTTTAGTGATGAAAAATGGATTTATTTGACATCAAACAAGGTTAGGAGTATCAAGAATTCCCGGAGAAATAAATTGACTGTTTGAATGTTCACACCTTGTGAATATTAAAAGCAGTAGCAGCCCAATTCTACCAGAAGTCACTGAGAGCTGATCGACTACACTAAAATCGTTTGAATTATCCCATAAATCGGGAAACATGCAAAGTCCACAACCTTCTTCAGCCATTTGAGGTCAGTAGTTATCATTTATTTGCCATTTCTTCTACTAATAACCAGAAAAAATGCCAGTTTCACACTTTAATGGTCTTTCAGCCGTTTAAATAGCATGTCGAAAGTTGATCAGAACACTGAAAGCGGGTGTAATATTCTCTTGATAAAAATACCTTTAGGCATTGACTTGGAACCAAAACACGGACAGCACATTTGAAATCGCATACCTAAAGTATAGTGGCTGTACTTGAAGAAAGAGAAAGGAATTAGGGAATTTGAGGAAAAACAACAGAAATGGAGAGAAAGCGAAAAACCTCCACGCACAACTAATATTCTTTAATAGTCTCCAATCCGTTCGTACACACACATTTCTCGTTTTTAAACGGTTGAAAATTCAGAACGCATAGTCAACAGGACCCGCACACGTTCCGCTATGTGCACTTAGGGAAAACGCATTAAATTTTACTTTGTTGTTTGAAAAAATCTGTCGTATGTTAGTTGTGACTTACTGCGTGACAACTATCCATCACCAATTCATCGATCATCACTCACGTGATGATTCCATCCATTATGCTAATTAGGTCTCGATATGAAAGCGAGGTATTCGGGTCAAGTCTAGCCCATATGACTGCTGCTATCTCTAGGGGCTTTTAATTCACAAAAAACTCTTGCATGCCTTGCGTGCCTATGTTTTTTACTGGTCTTGCTATGAATTCATGGATATCACAAGTTGCCTTAAAAGCACGTTTTTGAAGTCATACCTTTAAAATGGCGCCAGAACTGTCCCCCAAAATTGTTTTTATATATATTTAAAAAAAAAAAAATGAAAAGAAACATCAATGGGAATCAATCAAGTGAATTTTGAGTCTATTGTTATACTCATTCATTCTCATCATAGTATCAAACCAACTAAGTTCATATTAGCCCATAGAAAACACCCGAGTATCTTTACTCCCGCCACAACGTGAACTGAGCAAATAATACTTATTTTGTGGTTAACATCTCTTCAGGTAATGCTCGATGTTCTTTTGTAAGTGTTCATTAACTTCATTCCAAAGGTTTAGAAAAACGATACACTGTTCTGTTTTATATTTTTTACTCTATCGAAAAGTAATCGACGTCCATGGAAAGAACACCTCAAAATTAGTGACGTGACCAAGTTCCACCACGAAATCTCGCATTGAAGTGAAGGGAGCCTTAATAAAAGAACACTGTAGTCAGAGAGCTTGTGCGGTCACGAGAAACATTGCTGTATTTCGAAGTAAACTTCCTGTCTGGCTCAATTAAATAAAACAATTGAAAAACCGAACAAAAAAAATAAATGTGAAACCCAACTTATCACAACGGGTAATTTTGTTATTCTCCAACACATTTCACCGCCAATATGCCTCTTTGAAGTTGAAGTTGAAGTTGAATCTTTATTGCACACTCCCAAAAATAGGTTTTTCAGTGAACAATACAACGTAAAAACAATAAAAATACAATAAAAATACAATGAATTAAAAACTAACACTATCCTTGTTCAAAACATCTTTACAACAAGTTCGTCATAAGTGTTCAACCAGTTAGTGACAACCAGTTTGTCACAAAAGTTCAAAGACCAGCTCTTAAATTTTCTCTCGACTTCTGCTGGAAAAAGGCGACGAAAATTAAGAACCCCACTCGCCCTAGGCCATGGGGTTAATAAGAAATATTGTTTGGCAAGGTAGTCTTGAGGTAAATCCAAGCGTTCTGTTCGCTTCTTTTTTAAGTCAGAATTTTGCCTTACGGGCCGTTTCCATTGGAAAAGGTCATAAGCCGTGTATTTTTGTTTTTGTTTTGAGTGCCCTATAACAAACTACTTTCTAACCTAGCTTGCTGGAGCTGTACTGGGGAACATTGGCCCTTGGTCGATTTTGTACGGACTTCGATGCGCTCGGTCTGTACTGCCACAACTTCAGGCCAATATTTCCCAGTACGTCCACAAGAGGTTAATGCCCCCGATCTGATATATCTAATAGAAGATTCACAAATAAGTTACAAGTGACATAGTTCTTTTTAATTTCGCTACATATTGCCATTTAAAAAGTCTCAAATAATTTCAAATTATACGAGGATCACTACTCATTGTCCATTCGATATTGCAGATCTGCCCACGCACACAACTGGACATGCCATGTGACAAACTTCACCAAATGTCTGTATTCATTTCTTCGGCTTTGTTCATGAGGTAGCCATAACAGCTTTTACAAACCAGCACTGTCTCTTCATAGGCTGCTGGTGCTGCTCATAAAAAAAAAAAAACAACATATCAAAGATATCAGTGACAACAGCTATCATAATGAATTTGTTGACAAGAGAAGTCGTTTAACTTGCTGGACATTTTCAAAGTAAGCAAGTCACACAAACATAAATACGGGCAAAAATATTAAACTTCTGACAGACTGGGTGGGGTAGGGTTTGAATCTCTCAGTCTGGTATTGTAGGTTATTGTATACCATACTCCCAGCCTTGTAACAATTTCCTTGATCCAGCCTTCAAACGATTATAGTGTCGATTATAATCAATGTTTTGAACAAAACTATGACTAAGGTAGGAGATCACCGTCTTGTAGATAGTGAAAAAACATATGGCAATTCGAAGTGTCAGTCATATCTTATCCTAATCCTAGAGTTGAACTCTGATCTTTTTATTCAAACCGGGTGGTTGAAGGGTGCAAAGTTTGCACTCCAAAAAGCTCCTCTTGTCGGAAAATGATTATCGAGGCTATTTTTCCTAATAGCCGCAGGAATTCTTGTGTGTTCATTGGCTGATTTTTTTGTCAATGAGTGGACAGACACATGAATTTATAATTTATGCAAAGTTGATGTGACAATAAAGAGCGGACAATTTTACAATTTGTTATTGTAAAAACCAAATTGACGTCAGTTTTTCACACGTCTGTTCTGTTACTGACAATGAATTTCTGCGGATCCACAGCTACTTTTACAATGTTATGACGAAATTCATGATCAATAACAGGACAGACGCATGAAAAACTGACGTCAATTTGTTAAATGGTCATTAAATTGTCGCATATTTGAGACTTAGTCTTAGTATTTTTAGCCCTGTCACATGTACAGGAGAAGCCCGAACAGATGTTATAATCTAACACTACTGAACAGTTCAAACTACTAATCGATAGATTTTCTTCATTTTTTCGCTCAACGTAGAAAATCAGTAGAGAAAATGATCCATCAACAGAAAAATATGGGTCACAGAACCTCCAAGATCGTTTAATCCAGGCAAAGCTATAGCAATGGCCATCTGCCATTTTGCTCTGTTTGGGACCTGCTCTTGCGTGAGTAATTTTGATCCTCTGATTTAAGGATTTTTTAGTGCAATAAAGGAATGAAGATGTTTGTAATAACTCAAGTCTTAAGGACAGAATCATCGATATCAGAATAGCCCTCGACTTGCTCAATGTCCTTATTTGGTCATAACAAGATTTTGTTATGCAATGTAGGGAAGTGCAAAGTTATAAAACAACTGCCTTCCTGACCATATTTGGGCATGCATTCATAATTTGTCGTCATTAAAAATCAAGTCTGCCATTTTGTTGGGCACATGTTCGCAATCCGGCTCTCTGATGTCACGATGACGTTGAACCTTCCCATTGGCTGCTAATGATGTCACTGAATTTTAAAGGTCAGGAGACGTAAAATAAAATGTGGACTTTGTCAACTCATGCGATAGAAATTTAGTTCATTATTGATCGTGCTGAAGTACTATGTACATGTACATAACACATTCATTTTTGGTGGAACTCATTACGTTATCAGTCTAAAGTAGCATTCAAAACAGCTCAAGTGTTACACCTAAATAAGCTTAAAGATCATTTGTAATTGAATAATAGTTGCAAAATTTGTGCTGTCACGCAACATACAAACTCCTCATAATCTTTTTGATCCGATTTTATATCACGACTTGGCTTGAAAGCCATTTTGATTTGCTATCAAAACGAGGAGTTCAGCAATGATTTATATCCAAGGCAGCCACATGCAGTCCTTGACAGCCTATTTTTTTACTTACCTGTGGCTCCGAACACCGACCTCTTGACATGCTTGCAGCAACAGCGAGAGCAAAAGCTATCTCCACAATGGCGACAATATTGCTGCAAAAGTACAAAATTAATGCACTAACTTAAGGTAGCTCAAAACAGTTTCCAGCACTTAGATTTTGATGGGTCGTAAAAACCACTATTTATCACTTGATGCTACCATCATGGTATCAAAAAACTGCCCAATCATTGGTGAACACGTTATCATTTTCGTGACATAATAGGCTACCATAGCAACAGTACGACCTGCTAAAAACACCCTTAATTATAGCTTTAGGGGCTTATAATTCAAAAACGGCACGGTGAAAAAGTTTTTATACTGTCAAATTTTAATCAGCATGACTGATAAGATGCGACTTGAAAATGAAAATGATAACAACCTGTTCACCAATGATTGGGCAGTTTTGTGACACCATGATTGTAGCATCAAGTGATAAAGAGTGGTTACAATGACCCATCAAAATCTAAGTGAAGGAAACTGTTTTGAGCCACCTTAAGACTGTTTATATAAAGGAAATCTGTCCTTGTTAGGAGGGTCATCTTCCCTACCAAGCCACGCCAGATGAAGGAAGCTTTTAATTATTTCTTTTAAAATAGCAGCAAACCATTTATTTGAGAGGTCTGATGCAAAACCACACTGGGATGAAGGTACAGTCATCTTGGGGATGAGGAAACATTTATCCACATGAGACTGCATGAATTTTACTAGTAAATCTGCAGAATTCTGTTGTGGTTCCCAGAGTCACATGGTTTTCTATGTATCATGTGATATCACGCTCCCATTTTTGACTGCGGACAGCAGTTGTATTTTCAGCGATGCAACTACTCCCTTTTAGTAGAAAGAACGCTATTGTAACTGCATATCTTTTGAAACTACCCCTATATTAGCTCTGTTTAAGAAATGTCATTTACTGTTTTCAAAGTACACTACTGCGTTTGCCAGGGTTCAACTGAAGAGTGGAAATGTATTGCTTCTCCTTAGCAGCTTGTTAATTTCTCCATTTAATTGTCTCTATGAAAGGGACTAGTCAAAGTGCTCTATGAGCAAACTCGGCAATTGATCAGGGGTATGAAAATAATTATGTATAGGACTATCTTTACTGTTCTGTGTTTGAGGGAGTGTTGTCTTCAATTTTCATGTTTTTATTATTAGAAGTTACTGTTAATCTATTTATCAAAGAAACATTTGTATAAGCAGCTAATTTAACAGCTCTGATACTGGCTCCAATTCCTTCCCCGAACCAACATGAGTCTCAAAGATATAAGGGGAATTCTAGACAACATCCAAGACACAAGTGGAAGAATCTTACATGAAAATGCTTAACTCAGAGATGAATTAAAAGAACTTAAAGCATCTTTGAAATCAAAAGACGGCGAGCTGCAGGGTTTACAAGAATTGTTGCCCAAAATGTGTGAACGAAACAAGACTGTGGAACTGGAACTCAGCACGGCAAAAGTTAACACACAAGACGGCGAAATATACAACTTATGGGATAACCTTGATAGCTTAGATCAATATACTAGAAAAAACAGCCTGGAAATCCATGGTGTCCCAAAAGCATACAGCTCTACGGAAGAGGTGGTCCTTGCAATCTCCAATGCGTTAGATGTCGACATTTCATCAAATGATATAGAAATATCGCATCATCTTAAAAGAAGAAACAGCATTACTGCAATTATCCTTAAGTTTGCAAGCCACAAAGATAAATCCAAACTATAATTATAAAGCATGAAGAAGGCTTAAGACAGTGAAAATGTCAAGTGTATTTCCAAGATGTCCTGTATCCATTCTAGAGTTTAAAGATAGCATGTTTATTAATGTAAACCTCACAGGTATCAGACGCTTTGTCTTGGGCCAAGCAAACAAGATGCAGAGACATGGTTTACTTCTTAGCTGTTGGTCCTTGGACAGTAAGATATTCGTAAAAACGTCACCTGAAGGAGCCCCCACTAGGATCTTTAGTGAAAATCTTAAAAATTTTTAAATAACCGCTTTGCGGAGATGTTTCAAATACCACAAATATCGCACCGAAGTGCAAATTTGCATCTTTCGAGGGAAATGAGATCGAACGGGGAGGAGGAAGGGAGGCTAGCATTTTTTCTCTTTGCTTCCCTTCCTTTGCAGAACTAAAGTTTGGAAGTAGAATTTCTTCTTTCTTTTGGAAATTGGGAATACTTTCAAACCTCCCAGCGTGGTCAATTTCTTGTTTTTAATTAGTGCAGTGTCGGTATTGTAAATTTTTTAAAGAACTGTGCAACTTCGTTTCGTAATTCTTTCATTCATCTTGGTTACCTTTGAGATAGTAGTCTCTTAAGCGTAGCTCATTTATATTACTAAACTTTACTAGTACTTTTGTCTGTCTTCGTATTTTCGTTTTCTATTTTTTTTCTTATTTTTTCTCTGGCTCAAGCCTTTGTTGCTGTTTGTTAGCATAACTATTGTGCATTTAAGAACAGGTGTTCGGTTTTATTTGGTAGAATACTATGAAATTCATCAAAATCTTATCATTGAATGTAAGGGGGTTGTGTAATCACGTCAAGCGAAAGGCATTTTTTTTGTATCTTAAGAATCAAAAAGCAGATTTCTATTGTCTTCAGAATGGGGTGGGAAAAATACTTTTCTCACACGGTACAAAACAATCCAAAGGTACTTGCATATTGCAGAGGCCAAACTCTTTGTTCTCTTTAGACCATCTGTCCATTGATCCAAATGGTAGATCGGTTATCGCAAAAAGCAAGCTAGGTGACAAAGATTTTTTTCTAGCTTCCGTTTACGTTCTATGTGATTCTCAACAACAAACTTTGTTACCCAGAATTCCTGTACAGATATTGTCTCTAAAACAAACACGTTCAGAATTATAATCACTGGTGACTGAAACACTACTCTTCATTCAACAGATAAACGTGGATGGCGACAATGGCAATAAACAAGTTACAGGAATTAGGTCTTGTTGACGTTTATCGAGTCCTACAGCCCAAAAAGAAGGCATTTACTTATGAATCAAAATCTCTGAAGGTTAAATCTAGAATTGACTTTTTTCTCATTGTACAGTCTTTAAAACCAAACATAAGAACAGCTGAAATCTGCTCCTTAATTGCTCCAGACCACAAGGCCATTTACTTGAGCGTCGAAATCAATGATGCATTTCATTGCAGCCCAGGCACATGGAAATTCAATAACCAATTATTAGAAGACGAAAAATATGCTCAGCTTTTCACAGGATGTTAACGAGAAAAGTTGAGAGCCACCAACGTTTATGGAAACTTATTAAGATGGTGTTTTGCTCTGAAACCATAACATACTCAAAAGCTAAACGTAAGGAATTTAAAAACAGGTAAACAAATCAGGGAAAACTTGATGCCCTTGATAATGAAATATGTCATGGAAATGACCACTTCAACCAATCGCCGTTACATGAAAAGGTTATTGCACAGTTAAAACTTGAGAATGGCAAGATTATTTCAGACATGAAACAAATCAACCAAGAAATAGAATTATTTAATAGCGATTTACCAGAAACAAAATCATCTGGCTTCTTTCCACATATTTCAGAGAGAACCTTTTCGCCTTTGTTGAGAACCTAGACATTCCCAAACTGTCTTTTGAGGAATCAGTGTCTCTTGAATCTGATCTGACACTTGATGAGATAAAAAATGTTCTAACATCCTTTCAGAACAAATCCTCTGGGGAGGATGGCTTTTCCAAAGAATTTTATGAAACATTCTTTGGCCTAATTGGCACACATCTCCTTAATTCATATAATGAAGCTTTTACCACAGGACAATTGTCAATATCTCAAAGGCGTGGCATTATTTGTTTGATACCAAAAGACAACTCCTGCCTTATTGAGGTGTCCAATTGGCAACTGCTAACCCTCTTAAACGTTGATTACAAATTTTGGCGAAAGCAATTGACCAAAGAATTGAGTCAATACTATCTTCAATTATACACTCTGATCAAACAGGCTTCATTAAGGGTAGACTCATTGGCCACAATGTTCGTCTTTTAAATGATATTATGGAATATACAGAGGCTAAAAACTCCCACGCATCATACTTTTTATTGATTTTCGCAAGGCCATCAACACCAGTGAATGGAATTTTATCCACAAGTGTATTGACGTATTCAACTTTGTTCCAAATAATTATTAGAAAATGGATATCCATTCTTTCTAATAATGTTGAAAGTGGCACGATGAATGTGGGTTTCATGACTAACTACTTCAAAGTCTCTCAAGGGTGTCCTCTGAGTCCTCTTTTGTTTGTGTTAGCGGTTGAAATGCTAGCCCTCAAAATACGCCAAAACTAACTTTGCCGGGCCATCGAACTCCCAAGTGGACAGAATGCTAAGATCTCACAGTTTGCGGATGATACAACCCTGATTCTTGAAGATACCACATCACTTAGAAATGCAATGAATATAGTTAGTTCATTTGGAGTATTGTCCGGTTTGCAATTAAATAAAAAGAAAACAAAAGCCTGGTGGATTAGTACTTCGAGCAAAAATAAGATAGAGCCGTTAAAATTCTAGTGTCCAAAAGTTCCCATAAAATCCCTTGGAACTTACCTTTCCCATGATGCAGCTGCCAACAACAACAATAATTTTTATACCAAAATAAGGAAAATGGAAACAAAGCTTAATATATGGCAGTTGCGGGACCTGACGCTCTTTGGAAGAACTATGCTAGCAAAATCTCCAGGTTTGTCTCAGCTGATCTATACTGCCTCCATGCTTTCTGTTCCAGAAACAGCAATACAACAAACCCAAAGTAAACTGTTGCTTTTGTATGGAAGAATAAGAGAGAGAAGATCACGCGGCAGGATCTGTTCTATCTCTTATTTAAGGGTGGGCTAAGCTTTCCCTGCTTCAGGACTGTTATAAAAGCGCTACGTCTCAGTTGGATAAGTAGACTCTTAAATAACACTCATGACACCTGGACGGCAATCCCTAATTACTACTTTGATAAACATTGCGGTAACTACTGTAACTACCAGACAGAGAAATTCCTCTCTTTTATCAAGAACTCCTTGATTACTTTCTAGAACTTCGTAGCAATTACGAAGACTCATTGAAACGTGAGTTCATTTGTGGAACAACAGAGATATAAATATAGAAAACAAATCGGTCTTTTGGAAGGCCTGGCGGGATAAAAATGTTCTTTTTTGCAAGACTTGCTGAACAATCAAGGTAATTATCTTTCACCACAAGAATTCAGCAATAAATATAACATCAAAGTTAACTTTCTGTAATACTACCAAATCACCTCAGCTATTCGCGCACATCTGCAAAGTTACGCATCAGTTCATATGGACCTTAGAGATCTGAACTCAATTTGCGAAAACTTTGATTTCCAACTATCTAAAGATATCACTCTCAATTTAAAGAAAACTTTCTGCAAGCACTTTTATAAACTTTTTGTTGGGAAATCAAAACAGAACCTACTACGATTAAATCATGGCGGAAAAATTGTCCTGAAGCTGCTGACAATTGGGTAAACCGCATCCAAAAAAATTATAAAATCACTTGGGATAACAGGTTAAGACAATTCTATTTCAAGTTGTTGCACAGAATAGTAGTTACTAATAACGAACTTAAACGATTTGGAATAACTGACTGTGTCAAATGTAAGTGAAAGTGAAGTATGATCAAATGTGTCAAATGTGTTATGTGCGGTGCAAATGACTCTGTTGAACACGCATTTTTTGATTGTCAATCTCTCTTGAAATTATGTGACGAGTCTCTTCAATGGTTCAATAGTTTACACTAAATTAATGTTAGCCTTACCTCGCTACAATGCTTTCTCAATTTACCGACACCACACAGTAATCTTTCTGATAAAAAGACAAAGGATTTGCATCTTCTTCTGTTATATGCAAAGCAGTACCATTATGCTTGCAAAACAATGCAAAAGAAACAAGATACTTCGGAATTCACATCCAAATATATGTTATTGTGGGAGGCGTGGTGGCCTCATGGTTAGTATGCTCGACTCTGGAGCGACCAGTCCAGGTTCAAGCCCTGGCCTGAGACATTGTGTTGTGTTTTTGGGCAAGACACTTTACTCTCACTGTGCCTCTCTCCACCCAGGTGTATAAATGGCTATCAGTGAATTTAATGCTGGGGTAACCCTGCGATGGACTAGCATCCCATCTAGGGGGGCGTAGAAATACTCCTAGTCGCTTCATGCTACTGAAACCGGGATAAGCTCCGGTCTGATGAGCCACTTGTTTCGTATGCAGAATTTACCTTTACCTTACCTACTGGTTGGCTGGGAGTTACATTTAGTGAAAATTTGTGACTGAGGTCTCAGAAATGCTGCCTAGGGCCTCAGGCCTCAGGCAGGATTTTCATGCCCGAGGTCACAGTTTTTCACGATACGGACCGAACCTAAGCCGCCCAATAATATCTTTATCTTTTTTTCCTGCGGTAAATTGGCTTACAAGTGGGTTTGTTTACGCAACTTTGTCATTGAACTGGCTTACATGCCATCCACAAACCATACGTACTTGAAACAATGCTAACGAGCGAACGAGCAAGTAACTCAGATACTAGACAAAGAACGATGTATCAAAGAACAGATTTATTTTGAAGTACTTTACGTAAGTTGCATTTAGATCACCAGTTAAGATATCCAAATGTGTTTTTTCAGTGTGAAATTTTGTGCAAAGTTTGAAGTTGTACTACAAATTAAAACAATCTCTGTCAGTCGTTGCGAATCACTTGAAATCAGACTTTTCTACCGTAAACTGAGTAGCAGAAAGCAACAAAATTTGTAAAGTGTACTGGGTTATTCCAGAAAAAATCCACACACCCCCGACAGAAGGGTACGTTTTTTAACCCTTCCTCCTGCCCGGATTACCTGAAGCACTAGACCCCATCTTCTGCCTGAAATTCCCAGGCAAAAGACCCCGCCTCAAGCCTGGATTCCCAAAAAAAAATTATGAGCCTTCAATTTAATTTATATTCAGTAGAATTCTATGTACAATCATGTCCAGAATATGCTTTTGTGTAATTTCTAAAGCTTTAGTGAATATTAAGCTTACAATTATTCTGTTGAACTCAACAAAACGAGCTTATTACGAACACGTTTTTTGGACTTGTAGCTTATTAAAAGCAGATGACTTGCTTCTTACAGCTCCAAATATGTCTCCAATTTTACAATGATAAGACTTTTGTTAACTTAAATTAAATATCTTATCTCTAAGTTGGCCTTCTAATAGGGCGCAGGAAAAGAAATTGCACGGAATTCTAGAGGCAATTTGTGTGGAAAAACACTTCGATTGACTGCGTGGAATTGTGCGGATTGTGCAATCTTTTAATGGACGAAATTTCAATTTCAAGTGTTTTTGCAAAGTGCTACAGCAAGGAAATTCTGCATTGACAACAGTCTAGCTAAGTTTATTTCCCTAGTAGTTCAGATACACCTAGCAATCGCCAATTGTTTGAGCAAACCCGGTTAAGCAAAATCATCTCCGAAGTTATCCGTGAAAAACACAACTTGAAAGTTTATGCAAATTACGTGCAAATGAAATTTGACGCCTTGTTATTAATATTCGCTAAAGCACTTCGATCGCGGAAAGTCGAGAGATTTCTTGTTTGTTTTGAAATGTAAAGAGCCTGAAAAGTTCGTAAGAATCTCTGCTAACAATAGGAGAGCTGTTTTATTTAAATATTTAAGCAAAGTAATTACTAAGAATTGTGCGGCTTTTTGTGGCCTCTGTGAACGCAGACGTATTTCCGACTGTCACTTGTCCTATTTTGCAGGTTTTGCAGAATAGTGAGTTACGTATTGTGACCAAGAGCCTGTAGCCATGCTTACCATTTGAAAAACGTTCTACTCTTGCAGATTTACACGACTGTACGTAGAACGATCAAGAGCCTTGAATTTGAAACTCTTTCCGTCAACAGTCACGCTCACTGGCACGCAGAGCCTGGGTATGAGAATACAAATAGTGCCACGCGTTACACACTCACAGCAAGTCGTTGCGACAGCTTTCTTCATGTTTGTCTTTTTGTCACATTTCCTACGTGTTTATGGAAGAACCTGAGTTGGTAACTAAGTATATCAGGAAAGAAAGATATAACTGAAAGATTTCAACTTTTTTTAGATTCAGAGCGTGCTCATATGTCACAAGTCACACATCTAAAAGTTCGGGGTAACATTTGGTTGGAAATGATCCCCGAAGAAGACTCTTTTTAGGTTCAACCCCACTCCTGCCTGGATTTCTATAGTCTTTTGACTCCTCCTCCCAAGAGAATTTCCAGAAACCCGTCCATCAGGGGGGTGTGGACGTTTTCTGGAAGAACCCATTCCACAGAAATTCTTTCAAATACAGCAGTGAACAGAGAGGTAAACTCGACTGAAATTGACTCACTTTTTGCTTAAAATTGTGCAGAGAGAGACACACAGGATTACGTGCCTTTACAGCGCCGGGCTACAAACAGCCAAAAAAACTCTCATAACTTCAAAAAACTCAATTGAACTTACTTAGTGACTTTCCTTGCCAGTTAAAGGTGAATAGAGATAAACTTGCGTTGATTAATTGGCAATGGAAGTGTGAAAAGGGCAAAAGATTGATGATTATCGCTAATAATTGGTTCACGAAAATAGATCGACACGACAGATTCTGCCCGCTGTGGCGGTCCGGATGAGAAAATTCCGCCCACTTCACGAACCAATCAGATTGCAGGATTAGTTGAATTCTGCCTGCTCACGAGCTGAGAATAAGAGAATTATTATTTGGATATTTTCTGGTGTCACCCAATATGGTTGGTAACAACTCAACTTACTTACTCGCTTTTTCAACACAGAAGAAAACGAAACATCACATGAGGCACAGTTTCCTGAAATTATAAAAATATACTGTAAACTGAACCCATAGGCACAAAAATTACTGTTGGCTTAGCTTTATTTGATCAGCTCTATGATAGATTTAGGCACACTATCAAGGAGATTATAAGTACTGCATTTCTTTTGAAAACAGTGCTACAGTTATGACTACATGAAATGTGCCTAGAACACCAAGATGATGCTGTTAAGTGGATCGTAATTAGCAGTTTGGGAATTTTCTGAGGAGGAAATTTTAAAGTCGGGCCAAATCCTAATGTATTATATGGCTTCAGAGATTTATATTTCTTTTTGAAGTTATAATGCTAATCATAGCATCCCTTTGAAAATACACTAGTTCAACCTGCTCTAAACAGAAACAGTCAGTGAAAAACTGTAGTTTAGGCTGCTGGATTTCTTTTATAGTTTTACTTCAACCAACCTGACTCATTGAGCAATCACAGCTTACCACTATTGAGCCGCCTTTGTTTCCTGCGGTAATTACTAATATGGCTGACTACAGATAATCCTGAAAAGAGCCCTGAGGGAAACAAAATGCAGTCACAAATTAGAGAGGGAATAAATGTGTAAGGTTAGAATATAACTTATTACACAAGTTTTCAACAACATCGATTGTAGGCTAACAGCAAGTCTTCATGCGAGCCTGGTAGTGGCATCAGCCATCAAGCTGCCACTAACCTCTGGTTTTTATGATAGCCACTAGGTATCTTTCTTTCACCCCTTGGATGGGATGCTAGTACATGGCGAGGTCACCTCCCAGCATTACATTCCCTAGTACCCTTTATACACCTGGGCAGAGATGCATTATGAGTAAGCCATCTTGCCCAAAACAAAACACATGCAATGGCTCTTGCCAGGGATTGAACCTGGTTACCTGGATCAGAATGTCAACTGTTCTAACCGGTAATAAAGTTATTATTATTATTATTATTATTATTATTATTATTATTGTTATTGTTATAAAAACTAGAGCTAAGCTTTACAAAATGCTATAATATTNGGAAGAATGATGTGGTTTTGCATGCGAGGTTCTCAAACTTGCTTAATAAAATGGAGCGTCAAATGATGATTTTAACCGAATTTGGTAATTTGCATATTTCTTTAAAATAAAAGGATATTTTGCCAAAAAAAATATCCAGTACTTTTTCTCATGCCTTAGCCTATCTACCATAAGAATATGAGTGAAATCGAATTTTTGACCCTTGCCGCGAAATTAAGAATTTGTCTGATTTTTAATGGCAGGCACTCTTAAAGAGTGCAGCTTTAACCTTTAAATTCCAGCAGTGATAAAAATCTTATTTCTCATAAAAATACCGACACATCATCAAGCAAACTGGTAACAAGAATAAAGAAAATCATATGGTAAGTGATTTTGTCTTGATGTAACACCAAATTCTCAGAACTGCCATTAAGAAAACTGTATGGCTGTCAGCAAGAAGAACTGACATTTTAAACACAGGACTGAAATGGTTAAACATGACTACAATAAATCAATGACAACTCACGGCAAAACCATACAACCTGAAACTTACCCATTCATCACCGTAGCCAATTTCTGTTTCTAAAGCAATGTTAGCTTTAAGAGAATTATTTGTTGAAGCATTCACCAGTGCAATCCAATAATTCTGTGAAAACATGTTCTTCTTCGATTGCTGTAGTGCCAGCTGGAATTGTGTGACAGCTTGTCTGAAAACTATCAACAACAAACATTACAAAGAGTATACATGTAGTTACCCCTTGCAGTTATGACCACAGATGTCATTTGACTGCTGGAGTGACCATTTATCTTTCCCAGAAGCTTATTTTCACCTTCTGTCTTTCAGGTAGGATAATACAATACTGACCAAGATCAGAAGAAGAGATAATTAACACCTGCACTTACGAAATTAGTGCTCACCCAATGAAAACTCTGGAAGTGGAAGTAATTCTTTAAATGTGTACTTGACACTACAGTGTACTGCAGTTTGTGCGTAAATTTTGGGTCATGGTTATCATTAATGAAATTGAATCCATGTATAATGAAATCTAGGGCTAAAAAAATATATTAACAATACCTTATTCATAATTATGTATTTTTGTTCATGCATCTTAATTTCTACATTTTTCATGAATCTACAAATATACAAAGTTTAAGACTAGCAAAATTCACAGTCATGTGAATTTCACACCACCTTGTAACAAATTTACAAAATTAAAAAATTGCATCTACAGTTCTGCAGTTCTCTGCTTGTACCACAAGATATAGTTCTAAGAACCCCTTGCCCTAAGGATTTCTTTCAGTGTTAGCTGAGAGATTGCTCCCAGGCTTTTCTGCGTGTTGATCTGCATTTTACTTCCTCTTGTCTGTTGGCTGGCACCACAGCCCAAACTTAACAACTTGGCACTCCATTCTGTTGAAAGATCTAGCCCATCATGGGTGTTTGCATCAATAAGACTAGATAAGTGTAATTTGACATGAAAATACGGTCCATTAAGGTTTAAAGTTTCATTTCTAAAATTTGCCTATCTATCTTCATTTGAACCACTTTCTTCCGCCAGTTCTTTCAGAATATCTCTAGCAGACTCATCAAAATTACCATTAGGTAACCAGTTCATTGTAGTTAGCACTGACAAGTTTCTCGTGGAATGACATGGGAAAAGGCTGGTGTAGCTGATGTTGACAGTGGAGAAACAAAACCTACTCCTGACCAGACGATCCTTTATAGGATATGAAGGATGCTTACATGTAAATCTGGAAAATTTGTTGCAGAACACTGTGTGAAATGAGCAATTCACGGGAATTTACAAGGCTGTAATATTCCACAACACTTGGAGAATTGTAGATCTGAACATGATGTGTAGGGAACGTGACATGTCAGAGAGCATCATGTTCCTGACAAGTCTTTTGCAGGCTGCCATGTCAAATCACAGCCTGGGTATGTCAAGTGTGAGTGCCAAGGGATGTTAGGCCTTTGATACTCAATTTTTAACTCTTGAATTGCAAGCAAGTTACAGGTTGTAGTGGTGAATCATATTATGCAAATTAAGGTTGGTTTACGATCTGTTAACTTCCGCTGTGTTTGCAGGCACATAATTATGGTTTGACATCTCTAAGACAAGTTATGTAACTGCAAGTATTGTGCTAAAAATGGAACTGTTAGTAATTCAAATAACTCATTATTAAATGATTGTTAAAACTTCTTGTTAATTTGTTGATCAGGGAAAGTGTCAATGGCAGCTTGTAACTGTTAGTTCAAATAACTTGGATAAATAATCGTGTGGTAAAATATCCCTTTATTTGTTGGTCGGGAAAAGTGTTAATCTCAATCGTTTGGACATCGGTCATGCGACGGTGTAGATGCTGCAAAGGAGACTAAGAAAGTCTCACAGCATTGTTAAACAGCTTTTAAATAAGTCTGGAGAAAAGATCTTTGTGAAAATTTAATCTCAGAATCATCAATTTCATTTACATTGTAAACAAAACTTTGGTAGTAATATTTCCTCTTTAAAACTTGCAGTAAGTGTTTTTTTATGAAAAAAGTAATTCCATATTACACAACGGTTAGCTCATATTAGTCATCATTCACTGAGAGAGTTGTATAATACATGTACCAGATAGGGTATTTTACCTTCTGTGCTAGCATATAACGCATATAAGATATTATTTGATATCTCAAATACTGCGAGTGAGTGTTGCAAGAACAATGGAAGTGTTAAGGTACCGGTAACTCAAATTAAATGGTTGTTAAAACATCTGGTTTATTTGTTGATCAGGGAAAATGTTAATAGTCTCCTTCGCAGCTGTTATTAGGGTCGTCACGCAACGCTTCTCCCCAACTAAAATGTTAATGGCAGCTTGTTTTAATTATGTGTTAAAATTTCCATTCATTATGAAATGGTTGTGAAAACATTTTTTACTTTGTTGATCAGGGAAAGTGTTAATTGTGTGGTAAAATATCCCTTCATTTGTTGTTAGGGAAAAGTGTTAAAGGGCCCTAGTAAACTTCCCCTTCATTTTAGTTTACATACGAGAGTTTAGCTACAACATTTTATTTGCAGCAGGTCAAGACAGAGGAGATCACTGTGAAACTACTTAAGATAATTTAACATACTTTCGGAAACACAACTCACAGCAAAGTAATAAGATTTCGTGTCACCATGCAATATCATTAATTTCGACAGCATCGAAAATGGTGGAGGCTGACTAAGGTCCTTTAAACTCAGTTGTTCGAGTGTACGTCACCCAACGGTTCAAATATGAGTGCAAATGTTCAATGGTGATGTAGATGCGGAGGAGATCAAGAAAGGGCCACCAAAAGGTTAGCTTATATCTGTCAACATTGTCTTGCAGCATTGGCAAATAGTTTTTAAAATGACCTCTCTGCTGTTGGCATAAAATCTGGAGAAAAGATCTCTATGAAGTTTAACTGCCAGAATCATTACTTTCAGTTAATTGATCACTGGTGAACAGTTTTTAAATAACCTTTCTGCTGTGGGCATGAAGTCCGGAGAAAAGATCTTTGTGAAGGTTTACTGTCAGAATCATTATTTAAAGTTATAGAAGCTTTTGTTTTTACTCATTGTAATTTGTCCTCTTTAAAACATAACTACTTTTTCATGAAAAGAGTAGGGCACTTTGATTAAATGTGTGGGTAGGAAGATGTGTTTGCCTTAATTTGTTTCCAAATTTTGCATTTTCAAGGCATGCAGAGCATATGAAAAATGCTCTCATGGCCGACATTCTGATGTATATACTGTTTTAAAGCAGCATAGTGTTTCTTTCCCCATGTTTTCTTTGATCCACAGACATGCCAACTGGCGACCAAACAAATTCAGCATCTCACTCCATTTATTATTTCAATTAAAGTTTGTAATAGCCTTTTTCAACCACATTTTGATTATTGCAATGTAGTGTGGGGAAACTGTAACAAGGGCCTTTCTGAAATACTCCAAAGGCTTCAAAATCATGCAGCTCGCACCATGATGTCTGCGAGCTATGATAGTAATTTGGATGATTTGTTCCGGGCACTGGAGTGGCGAAGACTCTACCATCAAAGATTGGAACAGAAGTCTATCCCAGTATATAAAACATTACATGGTAAGACACCTGATTATCTGAGATCAAGATTCGTACATCGTGACAATGTAAGTGCTTATCGTTTAAGGAATATTGAAAACAAATTAGTTCTTCCACAACCTCAAACTGATTATGTTAAGAGAAGTTTTTTGTACAGCGGCACTCAGTTGTGGAACATTTATATCAGGCACTTTCTATAAAAAATATTCAACTGCACCTTACATAAGATATTAGAATTAATACATAAAATAAGACTTACAATTTACAATTCCATAATTTGGTTAAATAATAGAATAAATTAGAAACCACACCAGCTAATTAAATGCCTTATTAAATAACAATGTTCAAAGTCTACTTTTAAAAATATTTAAACTGGAGATACACAGAATAGTAGTTGGAAGTAAATTCTAAAGTCTGGGCACTACACAGCTAAACGATCTATCCCCCAGGGTTTTCTTTGTCCTTACTTTAGGAGGTATGAACAGTAGTCATGTGCATATGATGAACTTCAAACTAAGGCAGTCTAAGGGAGACCATTACAAAGAGCCATTTCATCAATCATCTAATCTCCTGTCTCTTTCCAATTTGGGACAAAGTGCACCTTTTCTGAAGAGCAGCGGGCTCCTATTATCACAAGGTCTTTCCAGCATGACTCTGAGGCAACACATCTTCCCACAATGGATTTATTTCACTGGCTTCTTTCCATACAGTTATCACCTTGAGATCAGAATCTGTTTCCTGCTCTTCCCTCAAAAAGGTGAAAGTCCATGTCGGCTCTAACTGGACCATGGTACAATGATCTCCAACAGGACCTTCACAGTTCATAGGTTGCTTCTTGTCATGGTTAGGAATGGGCACTTGTTTCTAAGATTTGCGACCCTTACACCACTTACAAGAGATATCACAGGGTTGACAGGAAAGTGCATCAGCATTCTACCATTCTACCAAAAGCTTACTGTGGGTCACACAGTAGTTCCATTCAGATTTAACCAATGTTTGACTTGCAAATACAAGAGGTTTTCCCACCCTGTCCCTAAGCTGTGACATGGCATCAATTCTAGCATAAACTTTGTCTCTCTGGTCAGACTGGCCAGGAATCCATGAGATGTTATATCCCTTTCAGACTGTGGAGCTGACATTAGCCTGTCAAAACAAATTCTGTCTTTGCATCTGTTTGCTTGTACAGTTGTTGAGCTACAGTTGAGAGGTTAGGGACGAATCAATGTTAATAAGGGGCCATGTGCAGAATGGTTCTACCTTTCCAGGGTCTCCAGTGATGCCCTCTCCTTTGCTGGAGCAGAAAACATGTCTTTGGCTTAAGCTTAAGTCCTGCACAGGCGTTGCTCAAACATGTTGGTGTAACTCTTCTTCAAAGGGGTGCCCCATAACAATCACAAAATCAAGGTATCGAGCAGATTTTCCAATATCGACTCTTCAAGACAAGTTCCTTCAATCTTCCAAATGTACCTGGCACATCGCAGCAGCCAAATGACTTCATGTTCCATTCATACCAGTTGCTCTGAGTTATAAATACTGCCTTTTTCTGGGTATTCACGTCCATTGCCACTTTCCAGTAATTGGAGCCAAGATCCAACATGGAAAACTATACAGCCCACTGAAGTTTAGTTTCAGGTCATTTTGTGAGGACTACCTGGTGTATAGGAAAAGACATGTACTTAAGGATGTTCACACCCATCATTACTGAACATGCTTTCTGTGCATGAAATTCACCTCGCAAGGTGATGCCGCATAATACGTCAAGCATGCAAACTAAGGAAGAAATATAAGCTAGTATAGGGCTTGGCACTGCCTGCAATTTACTCTCTTGGTTTCCTTTCCGTAGGTCAGTTACTTTAACAATTCTATCCATTTTAACAAACAACAGGAAAAAATCTATTCATGAGAAGTTACAAATATTACATGTATGCTTTCTCTGCTCTCGTGTAAGTGAAGTTTTCTTTAAATGTGGACTGGCAAAACTAATACCTTATTACATGAAATTCACGATTTAAAAAAATCGTGAAATTTAACTGATGCGAAAATTAAATGTCGCAAAATTAATGTGACGTGAAAATTAAGTGACTCATATTACGTCAATAATTAAAAAAGCNTTAAGTTGTTTGATCAAATTCAGGGACATGATAAATAACATTGACAAAGAAATAAAGTGTGTCTCACTCAAAAACGCGAAATTAAAGAGAGTCAAAATGCAAAATTTTTGCAAAATCGCGAAATTAAGGTGTCGCAAAATATGCGAACCTCAAAATTGCAAAATTAACGTGTTGCGAAAATTTCATGTAATAAGGTATTTGTTCTTTTTCTAGGCCTGTTCAACAGCATCAGCTCCAAAAGTTTACTTGATATACTTAGTTGTGTTGAACTGAGTATGTTTACCTGATCTAAAGTGTTTTTGTCTGATAGTTGTACGGCAACTTACATGCAGTTTTAAAATAATGAAAAACCTCTAAAATTGCATGGTTTTCAATGTGCTTTATCTTGAAAATGAGCATGGTGACCCCCGATTTCTTTGGCTTTTAGGCAAAAGTTGATCTTCACCTTACTTCATGATAAGTTTTCAGAAAATCTATTAGTGGAAATATTTTGGACGCGTCCTTAAAGATGATTTCCAGTCTGCACTGCGCACTCTTAAGAGTTTGTTTATGTTTTTGTTTTGTTTCATGTAAGACATCACAATTTAATGTAATATTTTGCAACCTCTTGCAAGAGGTAAATTCCAAGTTTTCTTGCCAACTGCCATAATGGATGTGAAGCTTTATGCTCCGTTTTTCTCATATCACTTGAATGATGAAACAACTTCACAGCTGTAAAAATCAGTGTAGCTGTTGGAAAAAGAATTTGAAAGGCCTCAAAGGTAAGGTATGTGGTTCATAACGAATAACATCAATGCGCATTCCATTGACTGAGACTTATAAACATTAGGGTGCTGAGACTGCACAGTACAGACTGAAAATAATCTTTAAGTAGGTAGCTAAATCCATAGTCTGTGTTTTTTCCCCCTGTTTTACGGAAAGAGCAATTCATGGCAAGGAGTGAAGAGGAGAGTGGACATGAAACTCGGACAATACAACCCTGAAACAGAAATAATTTGAGGATAAAAAACACTTTTGAGCCACTGCTTCGATTAAAAGCCATCAAAGCTATCAATGGATCTAATTATATACCCACCTTTGTTTCATACCAAAATAGTCTTTAATTTGGGAGCACTTGTTGGCCTCCAAACATGAAAGATCAGTTCATCACTTTGGCAGCCATTTCAAAACATTTATGCACATAATACACACCCCTATAACTCCCTTTACAGTGTAGCTACCCTATCACTCATTAAAGGATGTTTTTACAACCTAAATGTAATAATAAATTTCACAAAGTCTATACCTACCTTTCTCAAAGCCTGAGTTGCCCAGAAATACAACTATAACTCCAACAGTCACAAGATATCTTCCAGGAAGAAAGAATAAACTGCACAGCAGCAAAAAAAGAGCCAGAAGACATCTAACAGACAACATGAAAAAAAATATATATATATTATTAGATATTAAGCCAGGGATCCATTTTAGCAGTTGTCCGGTCACTAGCATAATGAAACATGCCATGAAATATATCGGGTAGTTATCCTTTATGCCAGCTCATTACTTAGTCAAGCCAAGTATTCACCGACAATGCAGCACATTTCCAAAGAGTGCAAACGCTTTGATGTAGGTGAGACTTTGGTGAGACTTTTTCCTTTTGTTAATTAAGCTGAGCAAGACCTCTGAGACCAGAGTAATTTCTGGTTGACACAAAAACTACATAAACAATAAATGAACCACATGCAACGCTTTGTCTTGTTCACCAGAGCATAAATAGAGGATATTACATACCTGCACATGGATACAAATTTTATCTTTGAGTGTTCAACTCAATTATCTCACGAGTGAGCGCAGTCTGTATAATAAAATCGCATTTCAATCTTTAACCCAAGTGGTTTTGTTGACGAAAAGGCTCTTTCAAATTGTAACCGAACAGAAACATATTTCAAGATGTCTTTATCTTTTTACAAGGCTAAACTTTTCAACTATGAAATAGGAAAAATATGGTAATGAGTCCAATTAGAACCCAACAGTTTAAGCACATACATATTCTTTGTTTACATCGCGTGTGTAACTCGGCCGCAATTTCATGAGTTTCATGTTGGAAAATATTGAATCTCAGCTTCCAGTGGTCGTCAGACGTAGCTCAACCTGTCATTTTAAAGCTCTCGAAATGCTCTGGTTTACTAAATGCAAATCTATGTTAACATTTTTAGGTGAAACGTTTAATTAAGTTCTCAAAACCTTCAGCCTAGTTTCATATGTTTGTTTACGCACTTACAAACAAAAGGATACGCAATATTATCCTCCTTCTTTTGAAATCGGTTAAAAGTCGTTCTGAAAATGTCCCACCTCTTTCCAGATCAAAATTAATGAAAGGAATGAATGCGATAGCTCTTCGGTATGGCTTTCATCAACACCAAAAATATCACCCAAAGGAATAAACTGAGCCTTCAGGGCAAAAATGTCAGCAGGTTTGCCTATTTCTGAATGACACACTTAAATCGATGTGAAGTTGTACTGGTTGCTTAAGACCTATCATCTATAATGGTCTATCAAAGCAGTAGCCACACGCACGCTTTGCAGGCCTATTTTCCATGATAATTCAGTTTTATCTTAATTACAAGTATCACTTGTAAGCCACTGCGGACATATTTTTTGACCTTGTGATAAGTCAATCACCCAAATCCACCTGCAAAAACTGTAGAATACAGCAGCAAAATAATTACACTGCTATATTCTACAGATCATTGCACATGAGCCTTTGGCAATTATTACCATAGTAACAGGTCTAGATCTTAAACTTGATAAAAGAATGAAAAACAGACTCACATCTTTGAAACAGTGGCATTTTCCCATCTGTAAATCCTGTTTTTAGGAATTCAAAATAAAAATGTCACCACAACAGCTTATTTTTAGTGATCAAAGTTACTGCTTTTAAAAGAAACTGTTGGGCTGAGTCAACTGGCGAGTGAAACACCTAGCTATTTATCAACTTAAAGTTGATAAAGGTGAATTAATTTTTGTAGCAAGTTTGCAAAGCACTCATTTCAAGCATTAGGGCATCATCTGAGAGAAGTTGCAGATTGTGGGTTTATGATGCTTATAGTTATGTATATTAGCCTTTTTCTATTGGGGGTTAAGGATGCTTAGGTGGAAAAACTTTCATGGATGGTGCTGTCATGTTACCTGATTTCAATGAGACACCATAATGTCCTGCAGTTGTTCTGATATCATTTTAACAATTAGATTATGAACTTGAGATTTCTGTGAAGTGATAGCTGATGAGGCCTAAGTTTGAATCAACTATCATCTCATAGAAATCGAGAGCACACTAATCATCTAATTGTTTAAGTAGAATTCTTAATTTAATTTTCTTAGGCTAACCATTTCCAACTGTTTTTGTGCATTGTATTTAACTTTACGCTTTAGACAAATCCCACAGACTGAATTGTCAGAATTTCCTGTTGTGCTCATCAGTGTTTTCAACACTTACTTATTTTTGAAGTCACGAAACCATGAATGACCTTCTTTTAGTCTTCTTGGGAATTTAATTATCCATTTGTATCAAAATGTTCTTCCTTAGCTTCACAAAAATGAGAAAACGTCCCCATTTCACAGACAATCTTCAGCCACTGCCCACTAATGGCTCATAGCATACGAGTAGCTCAGCCAATCATATTTCAGCATCTGCATATTGGTTTACTAGAATTCTACTGAAAATATGATAGAATGTACTGTATTAATAGCAGCAGATTTGAATCATCCTCACCTGTAAAATATGTCAAGATATTCACAAAGTTTTTCTTCAAGCATTTGAATTTGAATTGAGCTAAAGATGAACAGGCAAACCATAATTTTAATTAGTGCATGTACACAGGGTTCAAAATAAGAACACAGCTTTTAGCCTGGATTTGTAGGACGTTTTTGCCAAGGATGTCTTTAGCTGGCTAAAGGGAAAGTTAACCATGTTGCTAATTTTGGTAACATGACATCAAGATAAGCATATAACACAGATATCACATTCCATTTCAATATTAGATGAGGAATTGAAATGGCTTTTTGTTCCTCTCCCTGTTTGCTTTGTGATATCTTAACTCTAAAATTGTTGACCATAAATTTTTAGTTTTCCATTGCCTAGCATGTGACCTATTTCTTCCCTGAATGAAAACTTTATTTCAGATACATTACGAGAAACAGTAAAGGTAAACTTATAAACTAACTGAAACATTTCATTATGACCCAGTGAACTTGGTCCAGTCCATTTGAATGGTCTGCATGAAGCAAAAGTAAACTGAGGAAATCCAATTGCTGAAAGAGTTGCTGCAAACAAACCATACTACACCATTTACCTCCTCTCTCCAAATAAGGACACAATGACTAAATACAACAACTATGTGGGGGAAATAATTTAATGATGGGTTAAAATGCTACGTTTCAATTTCAAGACTATGGGGTTGTACTAATGCTGAAAAAATCTGATGCAGAGAAAGCTTGGTCTATATTTATTTAGAAGCTTTTAAAAGGCGTCCTAACCATGACTGCCTGTCAGGGTGAAGTACAGTGGGACTTAGGTTCTCAGGCAGCTACAGTAGCTGTGAAGGCCTGGCAGGAACACTAACAAGCTCACCAATAGGGGTTAGAGCAAGTCTGCAGAGGGCTAGTGACCCTCAATCTCAATCGCTGACTACTCAGGCTTAATCTCTGACTAAAGAAACCGACACAGAAACTTCACAGAAGGATATGGCTGGTCACCAGAGGGAGGACCATTCTAGGGATGGCAGCATGATGCTGACCAAAATAACTTGAAGAACGTCAGCAGAGAAAGCACCTAACCTGGAATGAAATCTGATCATGAAAGCTGGCATAAGACCACTCCCACTGGAGGGAGACTGTGAAGTCCTTATGCATACCGATCCCACGGCACAATAAGGACTGATGGCACTCCTGCTGGCAATAGGCCCTTTGCAGGATCTGGTCACATGGTACGGAATTAATTACGCTGAGACGCAAGTTACGCAGTGGGACTTCCAAAACAAAGGAAAGTCAGGCTAGACTGGTACGAGTTCCTTTGTTTTGGAAGTCCCACTGCGTAACTTGCGTCCCAGCATAATTAATTCCGTACCATGTGACCGGATTGTGCAAAGGGTCTATTAAAAGGTAAAGTCTATCAAAGAAACCAAACCTGGCTTACATATTGATGTATTCGTTAAGGTCCTCACGAGCTTGCTTCATGGTGGCAAGTTTTAGTTCCTAAGGTGAGAGAAACTATTATTAATACTTGAGAAAGGGTAGAGATTTTCTGCAGGCTAGAGATTGGACATCTTGGTAATTCAGTGTTGGTGTCACATCCACCTTTCTAAAACCTAGTAACTGGACTTGCGTGCTACCTACTTAACCTTTATATGTAGATAGAGCCTATATGATTGTTTATTCACTAGTTGGGCCCTTAAGAGAATAGTTCTCAAAAGCAGCCATCAAAGGTATAAGGGATAGATAGCCACTTACAGGAGCTTGCCAGCATGCAATGAAACAACTGCTGTATCACTGTGAATGAATTTTTACAAAGTTTGTTTGGGTTTTTGGAACGTGATCGTAAGTGGAGCTTTTGGTTTTTCAAGAGTGTCCATTAAGAGAGTACTAGATTTGATAAACTTGCAAAAGTTTCCTTACTTCACATGTGCAACAATTAAGAGGGAATGTCCCCCAAGATCAAGCCAAAAAAAATATATGGCACATATTTTGCCCAGAGATGGTAAGACTAGACACATGGGTGGGATATTTTTCTTGAAATACTTTGGGCTCCATGCAGCTATGTTTATCAGAGACAAATAGCTGATTTCCATGGCATTTTTCTGAGTCACAGGGAACGTTTAATTTGAGTCAAATTCGTCAAAATTCCAAAGCAAAAATTTGATCTCTGTGTTCTGATAAAGGACACTGTTTCAGCCAATTAGAGCATGCATTTCTATCACATAAGACAAAAAGGGCTATTCTGATATTGATGGTTCTGACGTTAGGACTTGAGTTATTATAAACATGTTCATTCCTTCACTGCACTCAGCAGTTTATACCTAACTGCAATGAATTCAGAATGTTTTACCTCATGAATAATTCATAAATGTTACATTGGTGAAGGTTTATGCCAGAGAATCAGAAGCTGGAGGGTTGAGGTTGGCAGTTCAAATGCCGTTGCAGGAGCTACTAGCTAGCAGATGGTTTGTGTGTATATAGGTACTGGAAAATAAAATTGTCCAAGCCATAAACCAAGGTAATTATAAAAGAAAAAGAGGTGATATGGAAATTTGAAACATTCGCAGAAAAAACGCTTATCACGTGTGAAAGTTGCGGCTAAAAGCCACTGACAAAGTGGTCGATGGATTGAATTATACACCCATGTTTGTTGTATACCAAAATTAACAGCCTTTTCTTTGGGAGCACTTGTTTGACTACAAAACGAAAAATCAGCACATCGTTTTGGCAGCCTTTCATTTTAAAAAAAAAATTGTTTACGACCAGGACCGTCAATGCTCTGATTGGCCACGAACACTATCCAAGGATTAGGTGTGTATAAATGCACTCAGATTGGCTATGAAAACTCTGTGAAGAATAAGGTTACACAGGCAGGCTACAAAAACTATTTCAAGATTAGGTTTACAGATGGACTTATTTACAAAGATGATGACATTAGTGACTACACCTCCTCGAGGCTGGTAGCCACAAAAAGGGCAATTAAAAGCAGTAACCCCTAACTCTAAGTCTAACCCTACTGAAAGTGGTTCATCTGTAGAACAAGACTTAATCAATGCTGTCAACTCCAATCACAGTCAGCGTGAAGCAGTTTTGGGAGCTGTAGTCTATTGGAATTGTTGGTCAGGAAGAGTCCCAATCTTTGTCTGCAGAGGATAAGATGCTGTTAGACAGTTCAACATGGGACTGAAGTTTGGTATGGAAATATCGTGCTACACAGCTAAAGCCCAACTACTATCAAGCAGTCAAGCGACTTGAGAACACAGAGAAATTACTTAAACAAAACTCGGAAAAGGCTGACGCCTAGAAAAATCGAATCAAACAATAATAAATGTGGAGATGGAGTATGCAATAGAAGTCCAAGAGGAAGATGACCACAGTGCAGTATCTACCACACCATGCTGTATTAAGAAAAGATAGGAAGACGACAAAGTGTCATGTTGTAATCGATGCCTCAGCCCATGAACAAGATGGTGTTTCACTGAATCACTGTATCCAGTTGGGTCCAGTGCTCAAACATGATCTCGTATCCGACAAGATTACACTTATGGCTGACAGAAAAAAAAAATTTCTTCGGATGAAGGTTGACGAAAAGGACCAAGACATCTTACGCTACTTGTTGAGAGACCTTAAGAGTGATGAGCTGCTGAAAATCTACCAATTACAACCGTTGCCATTCTGTGGTAATAATTATTATCATTGTAGTCCGTTCTTAGCCATTGCTATAGTCTGAAGTCGTGCAAAAGAATGCAGAGAAGAATTCACCAAAGCTGCAAAAGCCTTGTCAAATATGCTCATGTACAGGTGTATGTGGATGATTGCCTAACTGGTGCTGAAGACACTGAAGCTGTGGTGGACTTTTAGGAGTCTTTGGATGAGATAATGAAATGTGGCGGATTCAATCCAATAGTGGGCCAGTAGTTTCCAAGGAGGTTCTTAGCCACTTTTGGAGGGGGGATCGGTCTCAATCACACACCACTGATTTCAATGACAGTGAGCCTCTAAAAGTTCCAGGAATCTGGTGGAATACAAAGACTGACCATTTCATATTCAGCATTCCAAAGACTGTGCTCAATGTTAATGATCCCAGAACCAAACAAACTCTGTTTAGCATTGCTTCAAAGGTTTTTGACCTGATGGGACTGAACACTCATTTACTATTTTGAGCTTATATTTTGTTTCAAGATCTGTGGCAGAGGGAGCTACAGTGGGAGGATCACTTGAACAAAGACATACATGTAGCTGCCTGATGGGGATCTTGGAAATCAGAACTATCCAAGCTAAGTTGCAGTATTCCCTGTTACCTCATGGCACATAGTGGAGCAAACTCAAAGATAGAACTCCATGGCTTTACCAATGCCTTGCCTTGTAGAGCACTGTTTAACCCACCTGACATTCACGAAGATGCTTCTGAGAATGACAGCACAGCTAGAGAATGCTACCTGTATCAACAGAAACTTATCAATCACTTTTGTAGACCAGGAAAAGAATTTCATAAGCTAAACTGTATACAGCAATAACAAAATCCTCACAATACGGCTTTTAGCATCCCTGACAGCTACACTTCTGGTTTAGCCAAATTACAGACTAAAGAGCTTTTCCTCACAACCAGAAAGTAAATCATGTGTTGAATATCATTTCATAACAAAATCTCATTTCATAACATAAGAGTGAATTTCTCTAATTATCAAACATAGGACAGCAGAAGATGAAAAATTGATTTTCCCTTTTTTGTCCACAAATAGCCCTTAGCTAGATATCAAATGTGATATAGTTCTTTGAGCTCGAAGCGCTTTAAATTCGAGAAAATTGAAAAAACAATTTTTCAAAATGGCCAAACGCAAAGGCTGAATATTAGAAATTTAAACTTAATTTGCGTTCACGTGTAAAGCAGAACCAAAACTTATCAATACTTTCTGTTTTTTAGTGTGAAATCAACATCTCATCACAAACATCTGGCATTTGAAGGAAGAAAACTTATTCGCGTTAAATAAAGTCATTTTGGTGTTGAGATTGAATCGTTTTACCCTGCTATTACAAGGACAAGCAAGCAATTTACTTATCCGTGTAAAAAACTAGTAGTAATTGTAGATTAAAGAGTGCATTCGAGTATTGGTAAGTTTGGTATAGTATGTTAAAAAAACAAAAATTCTAGGAACAGCACTTAGTCCCTGAGTTGTTAGGTAGATGTGAAATTGGCCTCTCTCCAGCAGGGGCGAAAACAAATGAATTGATCGCAAAGCACGTGCATACGAGAGGGCTTGTTCTTGTTTATACATGTGTTACGTAATATTAGTTATGACCGGTCATGATAAAATGTGGACTGTAGTCAGTAGGCTGCATTTAGTCCGCAGTCCACGTTTTATACTTGAGTCCATTGTTTACTGTTCATGATGCTTTAGGTAAAATTGGTGTTTTTCAACTGGGCCTCAAAGACCACTCAAAGAATAATCCAAGCTGATTTTAATACATGTTTTACAACAATATAAAAAAAGTGCAAGGGTAAAGTTTCAAGGAATTTCGAGTTATGGCACATGTCGAAAAATATCTAGACTGAATTTTACTCATAAATCAGGAATTTGACCTACATGTAGTAACTCAAAGGGATTTTTTTAAAAATTGTGTGTTCAATCTCAAATGGCACTCAAGTGAAGTTCTAACACGTTTTGGATAGCTGAATACTTTGTCTTTCAAGAAAAAGTATTGATAAGTTTTGGTTCTCCATTACACGCCAATGCAAAATGAGTCTACATTTCTATTTTTCAGCCTTTGCATGTGGCCATTTAAGCAACTGTAGAGGCAGAAATCATTTTTCTCGATTTTCTCGAATTTAAAGTGCTTCAAGCTCAAGAAAACTATATCACGATTCATATCTAGCTAAGGGCTATTTGTGGACGAAAAAAGAGAAAATCAATTTTTCGACTTCTGCCACCAAATTTAAATTTTGCTCGATTTTGGTGACAGTTGCTCATAAAATGTAAGGATAACCACATGTTTTTAGAAGTGAAATGAGTTGTTTTAATCTTTTTTGAAAACTTTTAAAGTGCCCATTACATTTCTTCCTGTCACCTCATCAGTAAGTCAAAGATTTGCATCTTGCGCATTTGTTTTGCATGCAAAACAAGCTGCAAGCCATAAACAGTTAGGGGTTAGTGATATGCTGTTATTCTGATGTTCCTGATTTTTGTGTAGGTTCATTAACCTATTGACTCTCTGTGCTTTTTGCTAAAAATGCCTTTTTTGGACATTTTGGAGATTTTCAGCCTGGATATGGGACAAATTAGCTCCAATTTTCTCCAAAAAACATTTGAAACATGACAGGATACCTTTCTTTCCACTAGCATTACATTTACAACATTTTTAATTGGGCATGTGCAGAAATCAAAATTTGGAAATCCAAGTCTTTAGGCTTTTTAGTTTTTTAATTTTTTTTNGGGGTGGGTTTGGGTAGGTTAGGGTAAGGCAGAGCAACACAGAGCAGAGTAGAGTAGAGTAGAGTGGAGTGTAGTGGAGGCGAATGCCTTGATGCTCAAAGTAGAGTAGCAAACAGCTAAGTTGAGTATAGTAGTGAACAGGAGTGGTTGATTCAAATAAAGTTCCTTGCAGTCTACACATTTCTTTTATGCAAGCCAGGGCACTAAATATCCTAATTGCAAAAACCCATAGTTGAGTTGAGTAGAGTGCTATATAGTTGAGTAGAAATAAATAGTAAAGTTAGAGCAGAGCAGAGCAGAGTAGTAGAGTAGCGTATAGTAGAGTGGAATAGAGTAGTGAATACTTATATCCTCAAAGTAGACTAGTGTGCAGTTGAGTAGATTAGAGTAGCTCACAGTCTTTATTTCCTTTTTGCAAGCCAGGCCTGTTTTGCACACTATTTCACTATTTCGCTAATGCAAAAAAAGAAGTCTCACAATGCAACACTTTTGAGATGCTGGTGTACAATTGAGCTGAGCACAATAAAGGAATGAAGACAACGGAGTCCTGCAAATTTAAGGATCTCTCAAAATGGAACAGATTTAAGATCAGAATAAGACTCCTTTAAATAGCTACTATATGCTTTCCTACTCTTCACTACTCTACACTACACTACGCTACACTACGCTACACTACGCTACACTACGCTACACTACGCTACACTACGCTAATCTACTGTACTCTCTTGTGCTCTGCTATACTGATGGAACCATTTTAAGATCAGAAAAAGACTCCTTTAAATATAACACAAGAGAATGTACAGGAGCTGAAAACTCTAAGAGAAATTTCCAGTCTGTTTTACGCCAGGTATACAAATTATAAGGTGACATGTTATCACATCTTAGACGAAAGTATGTACAGTTTCAATCTGATAGCACGATAAGTATTACTTACTAAATTCACAAGGTCATCTTCCTTCCTTTGTACTTTCTTCCTCCTGAAGTGAACATTGCCCCTCAAATTCTTCAATCCTAACTTTCTCACTCCAGACAAAGAAAGCATGACTATCAAATAAACCAATGGAATATAGGCAAGATGCACTGCAAGCAAAATAATCTCATCAAAGCATGCACAAATTAACATCGCACAGTACATGGTCAATCTCTTTTGGTGTGGCTGAAAAATCAGTTTTTATCATACACCCCTCTTTGCATTTTATTCTACACTAGAGTACCATAAAATTCCTGAAGTACATGTAACCACCCATGTTACTTATGGTTTTAGCAGCCTCCGGGGTTTGCTTCTTTCAGAGGGTCATTAGTTTTAGGGGGGATCACTACTTTCAGGGAGCAAAAAACATTATTTGTACAAAGTTGGTGAGCTATTTTACAAAAAATAAAAGACAGAAATATGCAAAAACAGTTCTTAAAGGTCAAATAAACCAAAATTTAGACATTTTTTTCATTTGACTTCAATGTGTTCATTAAGTGTAAAATAAACATATTCTGAGGTTTCAAATGAATTGGACATAGCATTGAGGAGATAATTATTGGAATGTTAAATCACTGAAAAACTCAGATCACTGATTCGATGACAGCTATACAACAAGGCATAAACAGCAGTTGCCATTTTTATTTACTAGTAAATCAACGATTGGAGTTGACCCAATTTTGTAACTGCCCGCTACAAAGCGCAGCGCATATAAACAGAGAAGTACGCATGGTATTATGGCAACAAAATAAATCGGAATTGAAGTTAAATGTATAGCCCTGCTTTCTTTTCATCAACGTGAATTTCAAAGCCATTCCAACCTTGAGCATTTAGTCATTTCCCGGTGGTTTGCATGATGCGTGGACATGAAATCAGATCGTGAACACATCATTGCTCTGTCACATTCTTCTTGACAAAATGGAATGCTTTTAAAACACAGCGTTTAAGAACTGAGACACTATTTTACCAAGTTACAGATATTTTTGTTGTAGTTCATACAATGCAGCTACCAAATGTTTCTTGTGTTATCAATTTGGTAACTGGCATGAATGATCGACTTTATCAAATGCTTCTTTGGGATGAAAATGCGGAGATTCAAGAGTGAGCATTCAAGCACACTTTGTTGCGAAGAAACAATACAAAATGCTATCCAAAACTGATGCGTCTTCTTTTCTAAGGTAATACCTCGTCCAAATGTTGCTGCAACAGGACGAATACTGTCCTCGGATTTACCTAGGTAAAGATGAGGTCGAGTGCGGGAATACCGCGTCAATGACGCGTGGAGGCCCCCGCGGCGAGGTTTGATTTTTTGTGGCTACGTTTTTTGCCGATAATTTTGTTAGGGACAAGTGAATGTTTTACTTCTTAAAATAAGAAACTTCAGCAGAAGACCCTTTTTAAGTGATGACATATTGTGTGATGTCATCGCTTCAAACCGGCGTGCTGCATTGCATTGATTTTGGTTCATACAGTGTCGGATAAATTTGCTCTCACTGGCACACCCATAATAAGAACATATCGTCCATACATACAAATTTAGGTAGACAAGCAAGTCGCACACGTGATAGCTGAAGGGTCTAAATAAGACTAGTAATAGTTATCACCAAATCTCTCCCTGCTTTCTTTTATTTGTACTGATTGAAAACAATTGAACATTATTGTATGAACTAAAACTTCTATATCCTATTTTAGTAAACTATATCACTCGTAATGTCCCTTTAACTTAGGCATCTTATCATGGTTACTATCCAAACATTCAACCAAGTAAACTAAACTAACACTTTGTATTTAACTCAATCCATTCCAGACAGCCGTGAGTTTTCATTTGAAAAATCACAAAAGGTACTTTCTGAAAAAAAAAGTTTCCTGCATGGGAACTAATATTTTTGGTACAAAAATTTCACTTAGTAGAACTCAAGAAAAAATTGGTTAAAAAATTATAGAGAAAAAAAATACTATGTCAAACCACTCTGCTGTTTGAATTTGATGATGAAACAAACCATTTTTCTTGTCATAAGAGCAAACGTATCTCAAAAGCAGAACAGCGGTTGAGAAAAATCATCTGGAACTTGCTGTCACAATTTTTTTCTGAGACGGGTAGGAGGAGGAAGCACCCAGCAAAGAAAAGGCCTTTCTCTGCAATTCCCCCCTTCCCCTACCCTCTTGCTAAGAAAGGCCTAATACTCAGGTTGATGTTATTAACAGAAATATTGTGTTACTGTCACATACCTCTTATCCATAAATGCAAATTAGAGTCGAGTTCTCTGTCCGCAACCAAAACACTGCACAACAATGACATTTACCTTTGGATTCCTGCCAAGTCACCCAGTCGTGACATGAGCTCTCTGCCACGTAAGATTACTCAACACAAATGAGCGATCTGAATAAATGGCTCAAAAGAATCCAGAAAATATTCAAAAATATCCGGATTTGTTGCAAATTCGCTGGATCCACGCATGTGGATGGAAGCCATATCCGGAAAGAAAAAGTTGTGGATTCAAAAAATCATCCAGATACTTGTGGATGGCGCCTTTGTCTCATATTTAATCGGAGTGCTTTTTTATTATTTTCATGTTACCAGTTTCCCAGTATACCACGTCCGTAGTTGCTGGATTAGCAAGCTAAAGTCAGTTACATTAATAGTTAAAGTTAAAGCTGTTGGCGGACACAGAAAAACCAGGTACAAATGAAAACCAAGGCCTCTTCGACTGCCATAAAGGCTGAGGGGAACGTTTTTGCTCTTCCTGCTTGTATTTGGTTTGTTTTTCCAATGTATCAACATTACTAAGCGTAATATCCTGATCAAAATGACCAAAACAGCTGATGTGAACGCATGACGTGTTTTTCGCGGATGCAGATGTAGTACAGAGCATCAGCAGTTGACAAAATGAAAATTGAGCCTTCATTCATCCCATCATTCAAGATATAATTCCTATTGTCAGTATGAAAGATCCTGACGCCAATACATTCTATTGTCAGAATAAATGAAGTTAATAATTTTGTGACAAGAGTGATTCAATAGCCCTGTCTTTAGACATATTGTACTGATATCCCTTAATCGTTAGGGCTGCAAATAACAGTCGGTCATCGGACAACCAAAATTTGCTTGTCTCCGGCAAAATCCCAACGTTCTGTGGTCCGACATGATGTCCAGACAAATTTTTTTATCCTAAATCATTTTACGGTAAGGATGAATAAAACTTTTATTTTTTTCTCAAGCATCTGAGCGGGCCGGAATCCTAAATCCTCAAATTTGATTGGCTAATCATAAGCACGTGACCAGTCCAGCTTTTTATGATATGGCCCATGGGCCGGATTTTTTTCCCGCTGCCTAAATTTTGCTCCTAAAAGTAAGCGGTAGTCGTCAATCTTTTGCCTTTTTTACACATCCATCAACGATTAGTCAACACAAGTTTATCTCTGTTCACTTTAAAATGGCAAGGAAAGTCACTGTAAGTAAATTCAATTGAGTGTTTTGAAGTTGTGAGAGTTTG